TTTCATACAGTCGGCGATGTTGCAGGTGGTTACACACACATACATTCCATACAGTCGGCGATGTTGCAGGTGGTTACACACACATACATTCCATACAGTCGGCGATGTTGCAGTTGGTTACACACACATACATTCCATACACTCGGCGATGTTGCAGATGGTGACACACTTACATTCCATACAGTCGGCGATGTTGCAGGTGGTTACTCACACATACATTCCATACAGTCGGCGATGTTGCAGGTGATTACACACACATACATTCCATACAGTCGGCGATATTGCAGGTGGTTACGCACACATACCTTCCATACAGTCGGCGATGTTGCAGTTGGTTACACACACATACATTTCATACAGTCGGCGATGTTGCAGGTGGTTACACACACATACATTTCATACAGTCGGCGATGTTGCAGGTGGTTACACACACATACATTCCATACAGTCGGCGATGTTGCAGGTGATTACACACATACACATTCCATACAGTCGGCGATGTTGCAGGTGGTTACACACTCATACATTCCATACAGTCGGCGATGTTGCAGGTGGTTACACACACACATTCCATACAGTCGGCGATGTTGCAGGTGGTTACACACACATACATTCCATACAGTCGGCGATGTTGCAGGTGATTACACACACATACATTCCATACACTCGGCGATGTTGCAGATGGTGACACACTTACATTCCATACAGTCGGCGATGTTGCAGGTGATTACTCACACATACATTCCATACAGTCGGCGATGTTGCAGGTGATTACACACACATACATTCCATACAGTCGGCGATATTGCAGGTGGTTACGCACACATACCTTCCATACAGTCGGCGATGTTGCAGTTGGTTACACACACATACATTTCATACAGTCGGCGATGTTGCAGGTGGTTACACACACATACATTTCATACAGTCGGCGATGTTGCAGGTGGTTACACACACATACATTCCATACAGTCGGCGATGTTGCAGGTGATTACACACATACACATTCCATACAGTCGGCGATGTTGCAGGTGGTTACACACTCATACATTCCATACAGTCGGCGATGTTGCAGGTGGTTACACACACACATTCCATACAGTCGGCGATGTTGCAGGTGGTTACACACACATACATTCCATACAGTCGGCGATGTTGCAGGTGGTTACACACACATACATTCCATACAGTCGGCGATGTTGCAGGTGGTTACACACTCATACATTCCATACAGTCAGCGATGTTGCAGATCGTGACACACTTACATTCCATTCGGTCGGCGATGTTGCAGGTGGTTACACACACATACATTCCATACAGTTGGCGATGTTGCAGGTGATTACACACACATACATTCCATAAAGTCGACGATGTTGCAGGTGGTTACGCAGACATACCTTCCATACAGTCGGCGATGTTGCAGGTGGTTACACACACATACATTTCATACAGTCGGCGATGTTGCAGTTGGTTACACACACATACATTCCATACAGTCGGCGATGTTGCAGTTGGATACACACACATACATTTCATACAGTCGGCGATGTTGCAGGTGGTTACACACACACATTTCATACAGTCGGCGATGTTGCAGGTGGTTACACACACATACATTTCATACAGTCGGCGATGTTGCAGGTGGTTACACACACATACATTTCATACAGTCGGCGATGTTGCAGGTGGTTACACACACATACATTTCATACAGTCGGCGATGTTGCAGGTGGTTACACACACATACCTTCCATACAGTCGGCGATGTTGCAGGTGGTTACACACACATACATTCCATACAGTCGGCGATGTTGCAGGTGGTTACACACACATACATTTCATACAGTCGGCGATGTTGCAGTTGGTTACACACACATACATTCCATACAGTCGGCGATGTTGCAGTTGGATACACACACATACATTTCATACAGTCGGCGATGTTGCAGGTGGTTACACACACACATTTCATACAGTCGGCGATGTTGCAGGTGGTTACACACACATACATTTCATACAGTCGGCGATGTTGCAGGTGGTTACACACACATACATTTCATACAGTCGGCGATGTTGCAGGTGGTTACACACACATACATTTCATACAGTCGGCGATGTTGCAGGTGGTTACACACACATACCTTCCATACAGTCGGCGATGTTGCAGGTGGTTACACACACATACATTTCATACAGTCGGCGATGTTGCAGGTGGTTACACACACATACATTCCATACAGTCGGCGATGTTGCAGGTGGTTACACACTCATACATTCCATACAGTCGGCGATGTTGCAGATGTTGACACGCTTACATTCCATTCGGTCGGTGATGTTGCAGGTGGTTACACACACATACATTCCATACAGTTGGCGATGTTGCAGGTGATTACACACACATACATTCCATAGAGTCGGCGATGTTGCAGGTGGTTACGCACACATACCTTCCATACACTCGGCGATGTTGCAGTTGGTTACACACAAATACATTCCATACACTCGGCGATGTTGCAGTTGGTTACATACACAAACATTCCATACAGTCGGCGATGTTACAGTTGGTTACATACACAAACATTTCATACAGTCGGCGATGTTGCAGGTGGTTACGCACACATACCTTCCATACAGTCGGCGATGTTGCACGTGGTTATACACACATACATTCCATACAGTCGGCGATGTTGCATGTCGTTCAGGTGTTCAAATTTACTGTAGCAACGTGCTTGTTTCTTGCAAGATTTACTGCCTTGTGTTTACTGTCATGTTTTCCGTCGCAAATGTCTGACAGGATATGACTCTGGTTTTAATATCTGAACAAACATGCCTTTCTGACAAACAACAACCCCACCCCTGCGATCACGAATTTGGTTTTACACTATGAGTTGATCGTTGAGTGCATACCTAGTTCCACAACTGCAGGCTCTTGTTATTTGTTATTTTGAATCCACAAAGACAATCGGGTATTTGTTTACGTCGCTCAAAATGGATCTATGCTCATTTCACTAAGTTGTTGATCTCTAAATGTCGTCACAGTGTAAAATATCTCAGTGTCCCTAACTGTTAAGAGGTGTATATCATGATAAATACCCTCAACCCATGAACTGCCAATATTGCGTTCCGGAAGTGACGTCACCATCTTCATCTGTTATCAGTAACTGGGAACGGAATTCTTCTCGCTCATGAGTGCAATTTGATCTTTCACCTGCTTTATATTTGCATGTATAAGAATATATAGGTCTGCAACAAACTACACTGTGAAGGTAATGACATTTTAAACTCATGGCTATAATAATTGTCACCCCTAGATATAAGCGTCTATGTATAGGGATGACAACAATTATTGCTACCCCCAGATATATGCGTCTTTGTATAGGGATGACAACAACTATTGCTACCTCCAGATATATGCCACTTTGTATAGTTGGCACTAAAATAATTGTCACCCCCAGATATATGCGTCTTTGTATAGGGGATAGGGGACACTATCATTATTAACACCGTTCCCCCTCCACCCCCCAATATTAGCGTCTTTGTATAGAAGGTGGGGGGAGGGGGGGGGGGGGGGGGGGGGGGGGGGGGGGGTCGCGTAGCCTAGTGGTTAAAGCGTTCGCTCGTCACGTCGAAGACCCGGGTTCGATTCCCGACATAAATACAATGTGTGAAGCCCATTCCTGGTGTCCCCCGCCGTGATGTTGCTGGAATATTGCTAAAAGCGGTGTAAAACCATACTCACTCACTCTTTGTATAGGGGACACTATCATTATTAACAGCATACCTCCTCAACCCCCCGATATTAGCGTCTTTGTATAGGGGTGAGTATAATTAATTAATCCCCCCCCCCTCTCCCCCCTTAACATATAAGCGTCTTAGTATAGGAGTGACTATAATTATTGTCTCCTCCCCAGATATATGCGTCTTTGTATAGGGGTGACTATAAATGTGAACATGAGTTTATTAAACGTTTTTGGAAATAAATATGTTGTGTTAATAAGCAACTCTTAAAACACGTAATTTGATATTATTATTGTTATGTGTGTAACTCAGTAAACATATATGAAGAGGTGAAACGTGAAACACATCAGAAGAGAGTAACAAAAAATACATTCGCGATGGTACTAAGCAAATGAACTTGTTTGCAATAGTTAATATGTATGACCTGGCACAGTCGCTACTTCCTTTACAAACACATTAGTACAAACAAATATCTTCTCAGAGATAGGTTAAATCAGGCGATATGAATGTGATGTATTATTTTACAATCAAACTGTCTGTTTTATAACACATCAATGTAGATAGATTGACAAAACAACGTTGATAAAACAAATGTAGAAATATATAGGTTTTGTGTTTATTCATTTATCAGTCAATGTAGTTATGTGATCACAATCATTTAGAATCCCCAAACGTATAGTGATAACGGCACATCCCGCCATTCCCCGCCAGGACACGGCACAGCCTCCCCGCCCCGTGTGACGTGCTGACTGTGAAAGTGACTGAAGCGGACATAGAAGTTATCTGTTCATGTGTTGTCTGTTGTCTGGACAAATGTCAAAATGTCTACACTTGACTTAGTGTTCTGTTTCATTGTAATCTATATTGTACAAGAGGAGTTTAGAATTCACACAGTGGTAGTTTAAACATGAAATTGTGTAAATATTTCTGCAAAGAGCCTTGACGTCTGACTTCCATATCACAGCAACAGGGCGGAACAAAAGTTTGTCAAAAATTGTTTTATTTGATGTTTATTTGTTTATCAAACCATATGCATGTAACTTTGTATAAAATTCATTTAGAATTCACATACATATAGTTTTACAGTATATTTATTCCACTATGAGTCACACAAAAGACCGAATTGACAAACTGGTGAAACTTACAGTCGAACATTCAGCGCGCTGTTTACAGATAACCTCCCGAGATTCACAACAAATGTCGGACTTTGTCATCTACAGTAAATAAACACGTCACACAACAAACACCATCTATATTTCCAGGTCCTAAACTACATCTGGACGCCGCTCGAGTCAACAAAGACGAGTGCCACGTAACTACAGACGGTGAACTGGTCAACTGGGAGCCCGACACATGGTCACGTGACAGGCGCAGGCTGTGGGAGTATTGGGGGACCTGTGCCTCCACCCCCATCCCCCTTTCTCCACCCCACCCCACTCACACCCCGGTATACAGCACACCCAAATACTGGGAGACACGCACAAGGGTGCGGGTGGTGAAGGGAAAGTGGTCGCATGTCCTGGAGATGGGGGTGGTGGAGGCAGGACAGGTGGACAATGAGTTGTGTGTTTCTCAACAGCGTCGCTCCTGGTGTGTCCATGTAGGGAGCTGTGACAGTCACGAGGAGAGTATCTGTACCACGGTGTGGTGGGAGGAGGAGCAGGGCGAGTGTCACCAGAACACCGTGTCCAACACTCCCGGCACACAGGCCACCTTCCACTATGGCGTGGTGCTGGATGTGGGGAGGGGCAGAGTGGCCTTCATCGATCTCAACAGAGGGATTGTTATAGGGAAGTGTGATGGGAGGTTCCGGGAAGACCTGTACCCCGTGTTTGGTGTTGGGCCGTCAGATGAATGTACTGTCAACATGGAGCTGATCAGCGGGGACAACATCGCCATCACTGACACCAAGATGTCACTGATCCATGACGCGCTGACATAGGAAATAAACAAGACATGAGACTGTGTGAAGTTATCAGTGTAACCAGAGACCATATAACAGATTATTATATGGTACCTGGTGTAACTGAGAGATTTATATCAGCTGTTTCAGTGACGTGTACGAACTGAGAGAAGCTGACATATAAGTGTCTGGTTTCTATGTTATTTCATGTTCACAAAAAGTAACGAAGTTTGCTAAATGTGATGTTTTGCTGCACGAGAGGGTTCTCCAGTGTATACAAAGTATTTAGAATTCTCACATTGATATCTTTATGTTGAAATTATTGCTGTAGTGACTTCCAACATGAGACACTGTGTGATGTTTTGAGAGTGATGTGATATGAAAATGAGTGAAGTGAAGTTTCACAAAAAAAATGTTTCAAATAGCAATTTTCATAATTTCGCATCACTTGCCTGTGAATTATAACTGTTTTGAATCCAAACATTAATAGTTTCATCATCAGAATGTTTTTGTAGCAGCTTAAACTATGACACAGTGTGTGGTTCTCTGATCATGACATGCGTGTGAGAGCACAAGCTTGACAACAAATTTCGTTATTTCACCTCACTTGCCTGTAGATTACACATGTATTTAAGAATTGAAGATCAGTTTGGATGGGTTCATTGAAGTGTGAACGATTTAAAAGCGCTGCTTAAACTGTGTTTTAGTTTCACCAGCTGCCTTGTGGAATATGAACTGGTGGGGATTGAACGGAGTGCTCTGTAACTCGCGTGATTTGTGTTACTTTTCAAGCTCAAGGTGTGTTATATTTGGAGTTTGGGATTTGTCGTGTGTGCTGTAATAATTTGCTTATCTGATGCCGGCTTCGTTTCTGTGCCCCGTCCTTCCTCATGTGCCGCCGCTTCTCGGCCTAGAATACGCACACGAAGAAGGTCGACCAACTCAGAAACCAGAAGGCGACTATGCTTAACGTAAGAGGCGACTAAAGGGATCGGGTGGACAGGCTCGCTGACTTGGTTGATGCATGTCATCGATCCCAATTGCGTGGATCGATGCTCATGATATCAATCACTGGATTGTCTGGTCCAGACTCGATTATTTACAGACTGACGTCATATAGCTGGAATTTTGCTGAGTGCGGCGTTAAACAACAAACCAACCGTCTCCGATGACCAATCGTTAAAACGGGTAGATCTCTAGATCGAAGCAAGTTTTTTATTATTATTTTTATTTCAAGTTTCTTCCCTTACCTTTTTTATGTCTTATATTTTTAAAAGCTAGATTAATTTTATTTGGCTTACCATTGAACATTTTCAGAGCCTATTAATTTAGTGTTTTTCATTATAGATTTGCTGTGTCTTAGTTTCTCAAAATCTTGTAGGTTTTTTTCTGATACGAATGTGAATCAGGTTTTAGTTTGGGATTGGGAAAGAAACAGTGTACACTTTAAAGTATGAAATTATTCACTTTTTAAACCTATTATGATGGTTGTAGCTTATGTGGAGATCCGAGCTAAAATTGGTCTACAGCAACCCATGCTTGTCGTAAGAGGCGACTAACATGCCCTGTCACGAGGTTGACTTCAAATTGCATAAATCGATGCTCGTGATATCAATCACTCGATTGTCTGGTCTAGCCTCGATTATTTACGGGCCACCGTCATATAGCTGGAACATTGCTTAGTATGGCGTTGAACAAGAATCAAACTAATATATGATATGTTGGTTATTCCCTGAAGAATGACAGGCTTTGCAATAGTCAGACCACAAGAGTGACAAGTTGTTCAAATAATAATGTTGGGCATTTCAAATGTTTTCAATCGAGCATTGACAGTTTTATGGCTACTTTTTGAGCAGCACATAGTATTTCACATGGTGTTTACCGGACTTAGTTTGGCGTCAACACGTGGCTGTGAATATCCAGGGAATAACCTGTGTGAGCTGCACGAATTATCTGCCGTGTGTGAATTAAACATTTTGTCATAGTTGTAAAATTGGTCATGTTTTCCTCAATATTTATATAATAGTTAACTGTGGTAATAGTTTTTATTGTGTTATATTAAGTTAAATGTAAGGTGCTGTATTCAATCAGTCTCACATGTGAAGGTCGCAGCTATCTAGAAAATTACATAACATCCTTGGAGCATGGTCAGTATTATCTATCTGTACGTGTCTCAGCCTCTATCGAAATGAGCGCTTGTCACAGGTTTGCTGATACGTCCAACTCATATCAATATTTTCGGACTACTTCATCAATTATTATTCAACTTATGTGGACATCACTTGGTCAAACTTCTTAGGCAAGCCTTAATCCCTATTCTCGGCGCACGAACTCAAAGTTTCTTATCAAGCTGATAATTGAACATGCAGTAAATTCGTGACCATTCAAGGTGTCTAGAGTATATATACTGGCTAGCCCCGGGGGTACCTCACTGTCGAGAAATCCCCAATAAAGGGGCTGGCCATAGACACTTTGTTTGGTTTCTTTGAAGGTAAGTCATGTTCACCTTACTATTTCTCTAAAGTTATAAGTTAAATTGTTTTATAATTTGTATCGTATATGGAGCAATATTGTAAAGGTGTTTAATCTTATGTTATTGACCGTGTATAAGTGCAAATATATTAAGTGAGTTGTATCTATTTAACGGACTTATCTGTCAGATGAACGTGCGTTAGGTTTAGACAAAACTATCGTTTAAGTATTAACTCCACAGTATAGCATATATTGAATATCAAACATTTTCCGAGTCGGAAATAAGATGTTAACACTCGGGTGTCGTGGTAGCAAGCTGTGTATTTTATCTGCGTGTTGATATTTTAGTGTGATTCAGTTATTTTGTATATGTGAAAATGTCGCGTAAATGCAGACGAACTATTTCACTTTGATCAGACCTTTTATGTCACACGAGGTATGTACATTATCTTTTAATGTAAGGATTCTATGATGAACCATACATTGCATGTATTACTTGTTCATAAACAGAATCCAGACTGTTTTAAATAATTTTTATATGAATTATTTGATGGATCTAGCCTGGCAGAAAACGTTGATTTCTGTAGCTAATATATGATGTATTCACATCACACATATTTATGCTAATAGCACAACTAAGCCAGAGCTAAAATCAGTAATAATATCCATGTAATCATTTAGTTAATCTGTTAGCGATGTACAAAAAAGATAGGTAACTCTCTTGTACTTACATAGGTCTGAGCATAATGCATTTGTAACACAGCTTCAGCAAACATGTCTACATTACGAGCAATGCCTAAAAATGTACATATATCCATATATTATACCATTCAGTAATGTGAATGGACATTCGTTAATGGGCCCGTTAACTCAGTGTATGTGGATGCTATCAGATATAGTTTGTTTGCTGCGGTAGTTTAGATGAATTATAGATATGGCCTTCAAGTATAACATATACCAGCATAAGACAATGAATGATATATGCTCAGAAGTACAGCCAACACATATTGTTATTTATATTTAAATCTGCATACATGCGATACCGATATTGAGTTTAACTAAGTTTATACGTAAATAAGACATATCTTATGGCACTCCCATTTAGCAAGGCGTAATCATAATAAGGAGTGGCTGAAAATAAGTATCACATAAGAACATGGAAGCTTTGTTCACAGGTATCTTTGTAGACTGACTTTAACATTGTTATTTGTAATTGGTTGTTTTATCACTTAGCCCATGATACATTGGTATATCATGACATTTACACTCTTATGTATAATCATTGTTTAATATCACGCACTATTGTGATAACTGCTTCTTTTATGGAAACTGTAAATGTTCTATATGACTTTGTACTTTATATGTAAAAATATTTCTTATTTTAAATGTGACAGACTGTCGAGAAATCCCCAATAAAGGAGCTGGCCATAGACACTTTGTTTGGTTTCTTTGAAGGTGGTGCCCGATCCCGAGCTAATTCCCCAAGGCTAATTCTAGATATTGTGATGGTTTGAATACTAAAGTGTCAAACCATCATAAATGGTGGACCTGAATTCTAGATGACCGGATACACCCCTTCAAACTACCGAGAGAAGCTGCGCAGGCCTGAGCCAAGGTCCCTCCTGGCCAGTTTGCTTCATCAAGCTCCAGTATCACAGTCACCATCTACGCCGATCCTTGTGTCACCCACTACAACATCATCAATCTCTTCAACAACAGCAGCCTCCTCATCTACATCTCCATCTACATCAACATCCTCATCAAGACCCTCCATCCGCCAGATGTCAACACCCATGCCGCACATCAAACTGCCACAGTTCTCAGGAACTGAGAATGCCCAAACGTGGTGGGATGACTTTGTTAATTTTTCAAATTTCTTCTCTTATAATGATGTGAAGAAATGTCAACTCATACCATTTTATCTAGAGGGTGCAGCCAAGCTGTGGTATCAAAATCTCCCTGAGGGTGACAGACTAGATATAACTAAGGTGAAAGAAGCCTTCACCAAAAGATTTATGAAATCATCAGCCTTTGATGTCAGTCTATTACAGTTGGCCCAGGAACAGGAGGAATCCATCTACACCTTCATCACCCGGGTCGAGACAGCAACCATCCACCTGAAGCTGCCGGCATCTGTCATTGTGGCCATAGCTGTAAATGGCCTTCGATCCAACATTCGTCAGTGGGTATACAACAAAGAGCCCACCAATCTACAGGAGGTCCGTCACCAGGCAGAGCTGGCCCAGAAATCCCTGGCAAGCGTGCAGTCATCAGAGGTTAACATGATGGCAAAAGTTGACCACCTCTCCAGTCTGGTTGCCACCCTTATCTCGAAGACTGAGGCCCCAGCAGTCCAGGCTGCCTCTCCAGCTCCCCAGGCCTCATATCAACAGCAACAGCAACAGCAACAACCGAGATATCAGCCACATGAGTCCTGTCAACGGCAACGACCACGGCTGTCTAATCAACTACCACCTCCATTCCACCAGGCCCAACAACAGCGCCGCTACAGCCAGTATGAACAGCATCAACAACGACCCCGCTTCACACCCCCTCCATTCCTCCAGCAGAGATGTCTTGGTTGTGGTATGTATTGCTCAAATCGTTCTGCATGCCCACACTTTCAAACAATTTGCTCATACTGTAACAGGGTAGGACATCATTCCAATGTTTGCATGAGAGCTCATAATTCACAGAATAGAGCTCCTAGGCAATAGGGACTCGCGCCTGATTCTCAGTTCACTGAGGTCAGGCACAAGAAACCGTTGGTCTCACTTGCGGCTCCCTTACTCAAGAACACAGTCCTTGTAAAGGTGCAGCAAGTGAAGACAACAGCACTTGTTGAGACAGGGGCCTCTATCAGCTGTGTGAGCATGCGCTTCCTTCATAAAGTAGGCTACAATGAAAAACATTTGTCAGACTCCCATTTAACAGAAATTGTAGGAGTAGGGGGTGAAATTCACAAAGTGCTAGGTAGCATATCATTAGATGTCAATATTGGCCATATCTGTCTGTCTCAAACCTTCCATGTCTTCTCTTCCCTCCATCACTCCCTTATCTTAGGCATGGACTTTCTGGACTCGAACAAAGCAACAGTTTGTCTGGCCCGCAAATGTCTGTATATCCATGAAGGTCTTATTTCAGTAGTTCTAGTGGAAACCAGTGCAGGATATGCTAGGTGCAGGAAGTCTGTTACAATTCCCTCGCGTTGTCAAGTAGATATCCCGGTCCATATTTCACGTTGTAGACCAGGCTCCATTCTCCTACTTGAGCCAGTAGCAGAACTGTCCAAAACCAAACTTCAAGGTGGTAGATGCCTTGTAACCAATTCCAAGAAAGCGGTATACATGAGATTTTTAAATCCCAGTGATTCACCAGTACATCTAAATACCAAAAGAGTACTTGCCACTGCCTCAGAAGTAGACCCATCCAGTGTATCAGTGCTCTCCGATACTCCTGACCCTGACCTTAGGTCATTTCAGGTCAATCCAGCTCCATCCCCTCAGAGTACACATGGGTCACATCAGGTCAACCCTCCCTCCTCAGTTCACATCAACCATAGGGAACATCAGGTCAAACTGCCTTCCTCAGGTTCCATCAACCCTAGGTCACATCAGGTCAGACATCCTTCCTCAGGTCCCATCAACCTTAGTTCACATCGGGTCAATCATAACTCCTCAAGGAACATCAACCATAGGTCACGTCAGGTCAGTGGTAACTCAGGTTTCAACAACCATAGGTTTAGACAGAGCACTTCTACACCTTTAGGTCACATAAAGCCTACATCACATCATATCAATGCCTTATCTTCAGGTCATAACCACAACTTGTCACATCAAGCCAATGCAAACATATCAGGTCACATCAACAATAGGTCACATCAGGTGAAGGAACATTCATCCGAACATTCACAAAATACATCAACATCTTATCTCTCATTTGATTTAGATAAATCTGATCTTACACCTGAACAGAAACAACAGCTACTTTCTTTCCTACAAACACAAAAATCTGTCTTTGCACACAACTGGTCTGAACTAGGTCAAACACACTTACACCAACACAAGATAGAGACAGGTGAGGCCAGGCCAGTCCGACTTCCCTTCTACCGTCAAAGTGCTGAAATTCGTAAAGAATGTTCCAGGCAGATCAAAGAAATGTTGGATGCTAACATTATTAGGCCAAGTTCCTCTGAATGGCATTCACCAGTGGTTATGGTTAAGAAACGGGATAATACTTTACGTTTTGCGGTAGATTATCGCCGTCTCAATGCCGTCACTAAGCCAATATTTTTCCCTTTGATTCGTTTTGAGGATGTTATTGATGCTGTTGGAGAAAGTCATGCCAAAATATTTAGTGTTCTTGATTGTGCTAGTGGCTTCTGGCAAATTCCACTCCATCCCGACACAAAACACAAATCAGCCTTCATTACTCCAGATGGTGTTTTTGAGTGGAATCTCCTTCCCTTTGGTCTTAAAAATGCTCCAATGGCATTTCAAAGTACAATCTCAGAAGCTTTGAAAGAAATGAATTGGAAGTATATTTTAATATACGTTGACGATATCATCGTATTTTCCAAATCATTTACAGAACATTTGAGCCATTTGAAGTGTGTATTTCAAAAAATCAAACAAGCAGGCCTTACTTTGAAACCAAGTAAATGTAAATTTGCCGCAAAACAAGTTCAGTACCTTGGTCACATTTTCAACAAAGACGGTGTGGAAGTTGACCAATCCAAAATTGAAGCTGTCAATCAAATCCCCCAGCCAAAGAACGTTCATGATGTTAGGCACTTTTTAGGCTTGGCAAGCTACTACCGGAAATTTGTCTCAAATTTATCAGGAACAGCCTCTCCACTCTATGAGCTTCTCGACCGCCTCCGTGGTCTTGTGGTAGAGCGTCCGCCCGGAGAGCGGAAGGTCCAGGGTTCGATCCCGGGCCGCGTCATACAAAAAGACGTTAAAAGATTGTACTTGTTGTTACCCTGTCTGGAGCTCGGCATTAAGGGGCTAAAACAAGGACTGGTCGGCTCGGAGTCAGTATACTGTGTCTGAGTGGGGTATTCATGTTAAACTGCGGCATGGTATCTCAGTGAGCTAGCACTATAAATCGGCATCAGTCCGGACTAGTACAAGCAGCCACACACACACATACACGTGCATGCACGTCGCTATATAAGTGCAATAATCTTGGACGCGACGTTAAATCAAATTTCACCTCACCTCACCTATGAGCTTCTCAAGAAAGACATCCAATTCCTCTGGTCAGACAAAGCCCAACAAGCATTCACCACACTTAAGCAAAAACTAACTTCTGCTCCAGTTCTTGCTTACCCAAATCCTACTCACCCTTTCATTCTCACCACAGATGCATCAAAGACATCTATTGGGTACACATTAGGTCAAAAAGACTCCGAGGGTCGAGAACGTGTCATTTGCTATGGTGGTAGGTCACTGCATCCAGCAGAAAGAAATTGGGGTGTTTCACATCTTGAATGTTTGGCAGTTCTAGAAGGTATTAGACACTTTAGAGTTTATCTTGCAGGCAACAAATTCAGGGTATATACAGATCACAAAGCACTCACATGGCTACACAATATCAAGGAAGAAACAGGTCGTTTGGGTAGATGGTCACTCATGCTGCAGGAATATGATTTTAAAATTGTACATCGTCCTGGCAAATCAAATACCAATGCAGATGCGATATCTCGCACAACCTGAACCTAAAACTCTTCCCATCACAGATGACATACCCACACCCCCACTCCCCTCTGCAACCCCCACTTATGCTCAAGTCATAGCATGTCAAAGTACAACAAAACCCTCCACATCAACATCTCACTCATCAGACCGAACTACCCCCAAACCAGACATCACTTCTGATGTATGCTACAGTCCACCTTCATTTCATTCCATACATACACCACAGACCACTCCTGAACAAGCACCATCAGCCCCAATTCCTGAAGATCCAGTCTCCTTAGAAATCGACTTTGTGTACACCAATGAATCAAAGACAACATGCCCCGCCATCCTCTCAGCCTCCACTGCTTTTGATGATGAACATTTTGATTCTAAGCAGTATAACTCCCCTGACCTCAGGCCAATCATTGACTATCTTCAGAAAGGTGAAATTCCCAACAGTTACACAGACTCTCAGGTCAAAGGTCTCCGAGGCCATGCACAAGAGTTTGAAATGTTGGGTGGTATTCTGTATCACTTTCACCAGGCAAAATACAGAGGCACCAAAAACATGCGCCCTCCTTCTATCAGACAGGTTGTTGTTCCCTTGATTCTCCGCAAAGATCTCCTCTACTCCTATCATGATTCCAAAGTAGGTGGCTGCCATCTTGGTAGAGATTCAACTCGACAGAGTCTTCTTGCTAAGTACTTTTGGCCTGGCATGTATCAGGACATTGAGAACTACATCAAGTCTTGTGATATCTGTCAAAGATCAAAACGTCAGACAAATGCCAAACCTGCTCCTATGGTTCCTATGCCAACTGAGGACACCTTCTCCCGTATGCATATTGACATTTTAGGTCCCTTACCTGAAACCAAAGATGTATGTTTGGCTTGTAGTTGACTCTTTCACTCGTTGGACTGAAGGTTTTCCAATGCGTTCTCAAGATGCTTATGAGGTTGCCAAAATTCTCTTTAATGAAGTTATTACTCGTTATGGTGCCCCTCGTACCCTTCTTTCTGACAGAGGTCGTCAGTTCACTTCAAAGCTCGTAAACGCACTTTGTGAGCTGCTTGACATCAAGCACCATTACACATCAAGCTATCATCCCCGCACCAATGGTATGTGTGAGCGCCGCAACAGCACCATTGAGCAAGCTCTCAGAGCCTATGTAAAGGCTGACCAATCCAATTGGGCAGAGCTTATTCCCTGTGTCATGATGGCTATGCGTTCAACACCATGTCACTCCACTGGCTATTCTCCTCACTATCTTCTCTTTGGTAAGGAAATGCATCTTCCTGTTGACACTGCCTTACTTTCAAAACCCACCATAGGTAAAACTGCAGAAAGCCATCTCCGCACCCTGTTGGAAAATCTTAAGGTAGCCAAATCCATTGCCCAGGATAATATGCAAATCAGTCAGGAACTAAATAAAGACCGACAGGTTCACAAAGCCAAGCCTCCGTCCTTCTCTGTTGGTGACAGAGTATTGATGACAGATCCTACAGTGAAGAAAGGTCATTCTCCCAAATTGTCCCTCAAATGGTCTGGTCCTTACACTATCACTGCACTTGGTCCAAACCACACTTTCAAACTTCAGCATTCTCACACTGGCAAAGTCCACAAGTCCTTGATACATGCTGACAGATTGAAAACATACACTGAGCGTGCTGAAAATGCTGACATGCAACATGATGCAGAACGCCCTGAAGCTGATCATGAGTCTAGGTCCTCCTCCCCAGAGCCCCAGGTCACCACAAATCCACCACATGATCTTGATGATACAAACATGGTGCCCTCACAGTCAAATATCATTGATCAAGGCAATACATCACCCACCTCCTCTCCGTCTGATACACCTATCCAGTCTCAGAGACACAATGCCCACACAAATGACAGGCAAACCTTCCCTGTAGATCGCATTATTCGATACAAAAGGATCAACAATATCAAACACTACCAAATCAAATGGAAAGGGTACTCTGGTACCACATGGGAACCGGCTTCCAATCTAAGCCAAGATCTCACTGAACACTATCATAAGCACAAGACAATGTCTGGGCATAGACGCAGGCATGGGCACAAGTACTTCAAGTAATCTATTAGTTCTAAGTCTCCTTATTCTCTTGGGGTATTTCCCTCTGGTAACCATGGATTTTGATTGGCCACCCCCCCTTGCAGTCAAAATAATGTCTGTGTTCTTTAAGTGCTAGGATTTGCTAATGTTCTGCAGGCATTTTGCATCTCCAGGTCATCTTTTCTTATGGTTTCCTATTTCGTTTCTCTAAGGGTCTACCTGGAGTCTGATGATACTATGGCTTCTGACAGTCTTCGCCCATCCAGTTTTTTGTGCCAGTCCTGTACAACGTCTTAATTATGGAATTGTGTACCAACCAACCTCAAAAGTTCACTTCGCTACAGAGTACTGGGTCCACACCTATGAGGTTAAAATCCCAGCAGTTCCAGGCATCCCAACAATGAGCGGCTGCCATCAGGGCAATAGTACATGTGCTCTCCTCAATCAAATACAAATGCATTTGAATGTTATTAAAACGAAATGTGTTTCACAACTAAATGAAACGCGACAACAACTAATGCAATTAATTCCTGAATCAAAAACTCTTCATCAACCCGTACAAAGCGTGCTGTTCTAAGTTTTGTTGGTTCCTTATCAAAAACATTGTTTGGAACAGCCACAACAAATGATGTTAATATTCTAGCCCAACATATAAATGCCCTCACCAAACAGGATATGAATGTTGCACATACTCTACAACAGCACTCAGAACATTTGTCCTCCTTTATGAAGCTAGTTGATACCAGATTTAAAAATGCTATCAAAGGTGTAAAAGCAAATCATGATGCCATCCGTTTTACAGCCCGTGCTATGGAGCAAAATGTTAAATCCATTCAATCCACATTTGTTACATTAACTTCTCTCTTGATAGATCAGATACAGAAAGCATATATTGTTGAACACCAACTGGAGGAACTTAAATTAGGTATTCTTGATCTCGCCAAGAATAAATTATCACCCCTTCTTATTCCTCCACAAATCTTGCAACAAACAATTCATCATCTCAGTACCCTTCTCTCAAAAAAATATCCAAGCTTTAGACTTTTGCAAACAACACCTGCTTTCTACTACTCTAATGCCAAATTCATATATGCTCGTGCTAAATCCTACGTTTTTATTTCTATAAAGTTTCCAATTTCTTCTATCATTCACTCCCTCCAATTGTATAAAATTATCTCCCTGCCTCTTCCCATCAATGGTACATCTCCTCATACAACTCAACTTTTGGATATGCCTGATTATCTTGCACTTTCTCAGGAAACTCAACATTATGTTAACTTGGATAGTTCCACTTTAGCTTCCTGCAATGGGGATGAAAATATCCTGCACTGTCCTTTTCATATAGCTCTTCAATCGTTTACTAAACCTTCCTGTCCTCTGGCATTATTCCAAAATGACAAAATTGCAGTGAAAACGCTCTGTGATTTCCGTTACATAACTAAGCCTCAACCTCCCCAGCTCATTCCTGTTGATGCCTCTCATGTTCTTGTCTATCGCATTCCCTTTCTGAAACTTCACTGTCCTAATAGTCATCGTATGATTCCTGGTTGTACATTTTGTGTGATCGTCGCTCCTTGTTACTGTTCACTGTCGACTGAGGACTTCTTCTATCCAGCATCCTTCGGGTCCTGTGATAACACTACCAAACACATCACCCATCTGTATCCTGTCAACCTTGCTCTGCTTCAGCGTTTCTTTGATTCATCTGTCATCTCTACCATTGCTGGAGATACCAATTTTAAGACAAATGTCAACTTTACCATTCCAAATTTTAACATATATTCACATGAATATTCAACTATTTTGGCTAATGACAATAAAGCTCATCTTAGTTTGAAGCTCATTTGCAGAAAGTGCAAAGAAAGATGAAACTATTTTCAAAACAATTGCAGAACCCCTCATAGATGGCCAAATTCCCATTCAAACTTCCTGGCTTGACACTGGTTCTGTTCTTGCTGTCACAGCTGCTGCTGTCTCAGGTATCGCCATTATACTGGTTTGTTGGATGTTCTTCAAAATCCGCACACTCTCAGCAGCGCTTACGCTTGTAACTAGCGTTGGCCCTGTTAAAGCTGTGTTACCTCCTGCTCTTAATTATAATGATCACACTCCACCCAGTTCAGGTACAGCTAGCTTTATCCTTACTGATCTTGCTGACTACCATGTTTCTATTCTCCTAGGCCTTATAACCCTAGCCATTGCTTCCATCCTTCTTCTTCTTCTCTATCAACAGCGTTCAGGTCCTCGGAATGGTCTAGTTCTTGAACTCACATCAGGTTCTGAATGTGTGGCAATCCATGTCATATCTCTGACACTCTGTCCTTCTTACTAGGATATTCAATCACCCTTAACTGTGGAAAACCTACGCATTTCTGGTTACTTCTTCCCCACCCTCTCTGTTAACTGGCCAGGCTTCATTGTAACTAACCAGCTTACTAAAACCTCCATCACTATCCCCAATACCTTTAGGATTTCGTACTTCAATGCTCGTCAACTCCAAAAGATCTTCAAGCAACCTTTCAGCGCCTACCTCCTACTTGTCCACAATAATTTGTATACGATTCTTGAACCACCTACCTCAGTGCAATCATTTTAGTGTGTGGGCAGCAATATTTGAGCAATGCATCATGTATCATTTGTTTCAGCTAGTGTATTCATATTTCATGATTGATATTGTATTTTGTTTATTTGATTGATTGTCATATTGTGAACATTCTCAATCTTTAAGCTTTTGAGGACAAAAGCTCCACGACGCCCAGGGGTATTGTCATAGTTGTAAAATTGGTCATGTTTTCCTCAATATTTATATAATAGTTAACTGTGGTAATAGTTTTTATTGTGTTATATTAAGTTAAATGTAAGGTGCTGTATTCAATCAGTCTCACATGTGAAGGTCGCAGCTATCTAGAAAATTACATAACATCCTTGGAGCATGGTCAGTATTATCTATCTGTACGTGTCTCAGCCTCTATCGAAATGAGCGCTTGTCACACGTTTGCTGATACGTCCAACTCATATCAATATTTTCGGACTACTTCATCAATTATTATTCAACTTATGTGGACATCACTTGGTCAAACTTCTTAGGCAAGCCTTAATCCCTATTCTCGGCGCACGAACTCAAATTTTCTTATCAAGCTGATAATTGAACATGCAGTAAATTCGTGACCATTCAAGGTGTCTAGAGTATATATACTGGCTAGCCCCGGGGGTACCTCACTGTCGAGAAATCCCCAATAAAGGGGCTGGCCATAGACACTTTGTTTGGTTTCTTTGAAGGTAAGTCATGTTCACCTTACTATTTCTCTAAAGTTATAAGTTAAATTGTTTTATAATTTGTATCGTATATGGAGCAATATTGTAAAGGTGTTTAATCTTATGTTATTGACCGTGTATAAGTGCAAATATATTAAGTGAGTTGTATCTATTTAACGGACTTATCTGTCAGATGAACGTGCGTTAGGTTTAGACAAAACTATCGTTTAAGTATTAACTCCACAGTATAGCATATATTGAATATCAAACATTTTCCGAGTCGGAAATAAGATGTTAACACTCGGGTGTCGTGGTAGCAAGCTGTGTATTTTATCTGCGTGTTGATATTTTAGTGTGATTCAGTTATTTTGTATATGTGAAAATGTCGCGTAAATGCAGACGAACTATTTCACTTTGATCAGACCTTTTATGTCACACGAGGTATGTACATTATCTTTTAATGTAAGGATTCTATGATGAACCATACATTGCATGTATTACTTGTTCATAAACAGAATCCAGACTGTTTTAAATAATTTTTATATGAATTATTTGATGGATCTAGCCTGGCAGAAAACGTTGATTTCTGTAGCTAATATATGATGTATTCACATCACACATATTTATGCTAATAGCACAACTAAGCCAGAGCTAAAATCAGTAATAATATCCATGTAATCATTTAGTTAATCTGTTAGCGATGTACAAAAAAGATAGGTAACTCTCTTGTACTTACATAGGTCTGAGCATAATGCATTTGTAACACAGCTTCAGCAAACATGTCTACATTACGAGCAATGCCTAAAAATGTACATATATCCATATATTATACCATTCAGTAATGTGAATGGACATTCGTTAATGGGCCCGTTAACTCAGTGTATGTGGATGCTATCAGATATAGTTTGTTTGCTGCGGTAGTTTAGATGAATTATAGATATGGCCTTCAAGTATAACATATACCAGCATAAGACAATGAATGATATATGCTCAGAAGTACAGCCAACACATATTGTTATTTATATTTAAATCTGCGTACATGCGATACCGATATTGAGTTTAACTAGGTTTATACGTAAATAAGACATATCTTATGGCACTCCCATTTAGCAAGGCGTAATCATAATTAGGAGAGGCTGAAAATAAGTATCACATAAGAACATGGAAGCTTTGTTCACAGGTATCTTTGTAGACTGACTTTAACATTGTTATTTGTAATTGTTTGTTTTATCACTTAGCCCATGATACATTGGTATATCATGACATTTACACTCTTATGTATAATCATTGTTTAATATCACGCACTATTGTGATAACTGCTTCTTTTATGGAAACTGTAAATGTTCTATATGACTTTGTACTTTATATGTAAAAATATTTCTTATTTTAAATGTGACAGACTGTCGAGAAATCCCCAATAAAGGAGCTGGCCATAGACACTTTGTTTGGTTTCTTTGAAGGTGGTGCCCGATCCCGAGCTAATTCCCCAAGGCTAATTCTAGATATTGTGACGGTTTGAATACGAAAGTGTCAAACCATCATAATTATAACAACGTGCTGTGTTTGGGTCTGAGGAGCTGGCGACGCTGATAGTGATTATATTAACATGGGGAAAACGAACAAAGTTTGACAAATATGTTATCACGTTGAATGCCATATATTAAGAACTTGGAAATGGTGAAATAAGGGAATATTACAACTAACGACCACGTTCCATTATCTTTAGACTTAGAATGTAAGACGTTAATATCTGTATCTGTATCAATCAGATGTTTATCATCCACCCTTATCAAATCACACGTACCACGAAAACATTCGTTGCATACTAGCATCGTGTAAACTTTAATTCTTATTAAACTTCACTCAGAAACATCTTTATCATCAACACCTCGGTCAAACTAAATTATATAATTCTGTCTAGATAGCGCCGCGAAAGTTCGCAAAAACAACTTTATCGACAGTAAATGAGACTATCTGTTATTCCTAGAATAGGTATAAATACGGACGACAGACAGTCAGAAATCAGTCTGTGGCTGTCTAATAAACTGACTGTTTACTCAGGTACGAAACCTTACTATCTTGTACTATGTTAATTCTTAACTATATGCCATTACCCTTGGCAATACCTGCAAGTTTAATTGGTAACTGAAAATGTCATACTTGTGTGTATATCTTAGCTGTTCCCATTGTACTACTTCTGTGTATAGATTATGCCAATCATGTTAGTTTATCGTTTGGAATATGTATTGTGGCTGAACTGAATGTATCTTGTGTGAATACCCACTCGGGTAATGTATAAGTTAGAGTGTGTCGGGTATATTATATTCAATCATATGTAAACTGTTGTATTACGTTGTGTACCTTGGAATATGTATCGTGACTTATGCAGTATGTATCTTGTGTAATGATTCTATATCATGTTCATCTGATGTTCTTCACATATATGTACTTCTATTACTTATTGTAAACATTCTCTAATAATTGATTGTAAACATTTCTATTTGACTGATTATGTATAAGATTCTGTCGCTGTCTAATAAACTGACTGTCTATTCACTCAGGTCTTGTGTTGTTGTGTGGGTTGGTCGTGTACAGTGGTACCTCTGCCAAGCGAGCTGATTCCCCAACTCACGTTTTAATAATTACCTGCATATTCCTGCATGCAAGTGATCGGGGTACGGTCCTGGGGTGGAGGTGACAACATCAAATCGGGTGGATGGCTTGAGGTATATTATGAGGCCTATTTCTGTGATTTTTGTGTATAGGTATCTGGTTACAGGAGGTTGTATTTACTTTGATAGCTAATCTAATTTCAAAACTAGCACACATTATAAAAACAAGGCAGGGATATGCTTTCAGTAAACAAATATAAAATCCCGTGGTTCATTTCAGTGATTATGTCTAATTACTGAAGATTTCAGTAATTAGACATAACCACCGAGTGAATCAGTTATTAGACATAATCATTGAAATTTTCAGTCATTAGACTTAATAACTGATTATACTTGTTTCCTGTAACATATACAAGTTTTATCTTGACCATCTATATGTGACAGACAGTATGTCTTTTGATTCTAACATGTATAAATATTCAGGTATGTATGTATCGCAGCTGAGTGTGAAATGTTTGTGACGTAACCGGCGCCTCTTAATTTTGCAAACATAAGACAGTTCACTTCTGCGATCGCGTTTGCGTTTTTCTTAAACAAACTGACCACCTCCGTGGTCTAGTGGTAGAGCGTCCGCCCGGAGAGCGGAAGGCCGGGGTTCCATTCCCAACAGCGGCGTTAAAAGATGGTACTTGTTGTTACACTGCATGGGGACACACACACACACACACACACACACACACACACACACACACACACACACACACACACACACACACACACACACACACACACACACACACACACACACACACACACACACACACACACACATGCAGACACACATACATATACACACAAACGCAGATGCAGACATACATACGTGCGCACACACACTCAGGCGTAAAAGATGGTACTTGTTGAGTGGGGTATTCATGATAAATGTTATCTCAGTGGACTAGCACTATGAAAACGGCATTAGTCAGGACTGGCTGGCACACGCGCACGCACGCGCGCGCACACGCACACACGCACACGCACACGCACACACACACACACACACACACACACACACACACACACACACACACACACACACACACACAAACACACCCGTGATTACTCAGGTTTGTTGTTGGGTTATTTCGAGGAAATATCCGATATTCTCGTTTCAATAACGCCGCGAATGGTTATTTCGTAAAATGTACGAAATAGCGATGATTACGATGTACCTGACTTTCAGGGCTCCTTTTGCTTTGTATTTGTTTAGACCGCCTCCGTGGTCTAGTGGTAGAGCGTCTGCCCGGGGAGGGGTTCGTTCCCCGGCCGCGTCATAGCAAAAGACGTTAAGAGATGGAACTTGTTGCTACCCTGTCTGGCGCGGGTATTCATGTTCAATTGCGGGAATGTATCTCAGTGTGCTAGCACTATAAATCGGCACCAGTCCAGACCAGTACAAGCAGCCACACACATACATAAACGTGCATGCACGTCGCTATATAAGGGCAATAAGCTTGGACACGACGTTAAACCCCATTTCACCTCACCTTGTATTTCTTTCACGTGACTGGATGATGTCCCAGAAAAGAGAACCCTCCGCAGCATTCAAAATTATGATGTGTTTTTCATGTGCGTGATCCAGGGGGGGTTAACTCCATGCCCGTTACGTCAATAACGGGGGTTGTATTCCGTCCACAATCTCAGTGACGTCATCAGGGCTGTTGAATGTGGATATGAAAAGTAAGAATTGAGCATATGGACCAGAATCGTCTCAAGCTCATGTAACTGATATACATGACTCACTCATCCACTCACTCACCCACAGCTCACTCACTGACACGTCACCTACCCATCTACTTGCTCACCCATCCTCTCACTCATCCACTTACTGGTTGACTGATTCACCAACAACTCATTAGTCTATTCACTTCCCCCCCCCCCCCCCCCCCCCCCCACACACACACACACACACAACTGACCCATCAATCACTCGCCCACTCACGCACTCACTCACAACCAACTCACCCATCACGAACACATCTACTCAATTGTCACTCGCCCAACCCCACAAAACTGACTCATCCACTCACTCAAAACTCTCCCACCCAATCACTCGCCCACTCACTCACTCACTCACAACCAACTCACCCATAACGAACACATCTACTCAATCGTCACTCGCTCACACACTCATCTTTTCACTCTCACACATAAATTACCCACACACTCACTCGCCCACTCACTCTCCCACCCACACACAACTGACTCATCCTATCGCTCAAAACTCTCCCATCCAATCACTCGCCCACCCACACACAAATTACTCATCCACTCATTCGCCCACTCACTCGCCCACTCACTCATTCATCCACTCATTCGCCCACTCACAAACAACTCCCACATCCACTCATTGGCCTACTCACTCGCCCACTCACTCACACACAACTCACTCATCCACTCATTGGGCTACTCACTCGCCCACTCACTCACACACAACTCACACATCCACTCACTCGCCCACTCACTAACACACAACTCACACATCCACTCATTCGCCCACTCACTCACACACAACTCACACATCCACTCACTCGCTCACTCAGTCAATGTGGCTACACATAACTACTGAGGGAATAATATATAAAAGTCATGAGAAACAATATTGTTTTCAAAGGGTCGTATATCCCATGAACATACGTCCTTAGTGTGAGAAGCGCCCTACAATCAGGATGTCTGGCACGGCTATTCTGGCACCATGTTATGTGTTATTGACGCGTGAGGTAGAAATACTTTAAAATGTCGACTCAATCATCGGGCTGACCACAGCCATGTTGTTATTTCGTTTAATGTGAAAACGCTTTCTACTCAAGAGGATATGGGTTGAAACCCCGTACCACAGGCGCGATCGAGCCTTTTACTGATTAATAATTTTCTGTGGTTTAACCAAACACCATGTGAGATGCAACATGCTGTTCTTCATATTACATGTTTGGACAGACAACCGAGTGAATAACTCCTGACTTCTAATTCATAACATGGTTGTCATGGTGCAAGTCTTTCATTCTCTACACGAGGTTTCACCCTTCAACGTTGAACGTCCTTCCATCAGACGGGGAGGGGTCGATCCCTCGTGTCCCTGGTGTTATACTAAGTAATGGCTTCCCTAGTGGACCCTGTGATTGAAAACAGATTTAGCACAGGGTACTTGTATGGAATATATAACCCGCAGTCAAGGTGTATGTACGTATACGTGTGAAGTTTATCTTCCACTCGAGATGGCAAGCCAATGCAGAACATCTTCACATACCCTAAAACTCGAGTGGAAATTATACACAGAGCACATGTTGAACGAAGGTCCAATACCTGCCAATTGTCCTGAAGAAACGTGCCAGTTCTCCCGATATTAAAGACAACAATGCTGTCCTCATCGCGTGTTACCCGTCACCCCTACTGCGAGAAGCGCCCTACAATCCTAGTGAGTGACGTCGGTTCTTGCATCACCCGGCTATTCTCGACGTGGAACTATAGATACTTCAAATGTTCACACAGCTCGCGGGCTGGCTCCAGTCATGTGGTTACTTCGTTTAATAAAACATTCTTTTAACACAAAGGAATGGTCCGTCCTTTGTGTCACGGACGCTATCCAGCCCCTTTAATAATATTCTGAAAGCTTTTACGTTATAACATTTTCTAGACAACGGAGACGCATACCACGGCGCTACATCCCATGCAGCATCAATTCTGACAGAACTTTTTAAATTGAAATATTTCTTGTTAAATACATACTTGTTAAGAACACTTTTTCATTAAACAATGAATGTATAAACTGGTTTACTTGATAGTGACGAATGCAAAAACCTCCACAGACTAATCACAAGAAGGTAACATTAAAACCCCACCTTTATTATACGTGTATTACATAGTTACCATGACGTCACGTTAACACACTACCTTTATTGTACAACGTGTGTTATAAAACACAAGAACGTAACGTTGAAACACTACCTGTTTTGTACAACGTACGTTATATAGACAATGGAACGTCACGTTTAAAGAATACCTTATTGTACAACGTACGTTATATAGACACTGGAACGTCACGTGAACACACTACCTGTATTGTACAACGTACGTTATATAGACACTGGAACGTCACGTTAACACACTACCTTTATTGTACAACTAGTGTTATATAGACACTAGAACGTAACGTTAAAACACTACCTTTATTATACAACGTGTGTCATATAGACACTAGAGCGTAACGTTAAAACACAATCTTTATTGTACAACGTGTGTCATATAGACACTAGAGCGTAACGTTAAAACACAATCTTTATTGTACAACGTGTGTGATATAGACACTAGAACGTAACGTTAACACACTACCTTTATTGTACAACGTGTGTTATATAAACACTGCAACGTAACGTTAACACACTACCTTTATTGTACAACGTGTGTTATATAGACACTAGAACGTAACGTTAAAACACTACCTTTATTGTACAACGTGTGTTATATAGACACTAGAACGTAACGTTAAAACACTACCTTTATTGTACAACGTGTGTTATATAGACACTAGAACGCAACGTTAACACACTACCTTTATTGTACAACGTGTGTTATATAAACACTGCAACGTAACGTTAACACACTACCTTTATTGTACAACGTGTGTTATATAGACACTAGAACGTAACGTTAAAACACTACCTTTATTGTACAACGTGTGTTATTAAAGACACTAGAGCGTAACGTTAAAACACAATCTTTATTGTACAACGTGTGTTATATAGACACTAGAACGCAACGTTAACACACTACCTTTATTGTACAACGTGTGTTATATAGACACTAGAACGTAACGTTAAAACACTACCTTTATTGTACAACGTGTGTTATATAGACACTAGAACGTAACGTTAAAACACTACCTTTATT